ATTTTTTATATTAAATGGCTGGACACTTTCTGGGCAGACCTTTTGCCTATATGTATAAGTAAAATATTTTCTTTACTCATTCATCCATTTATGGACACTTAGCTTGTTTCCATTTTTTTTTGGCTGTTATAAATAATGCTGCAATGAACATGGAAATAGAGAGATTTCTTCAAGGTATGACTTTATTTCCTTCAGATATATATACACAGAAGTGAAATTGCTGGATCACATAAGTAGTTCTATTTTTAATATTTTTAGGACCTTCATACTGTTTCCCAAAGTAGCTATAGCAATTTACATTCCCACCAACAGTATACAAGGGTTCCCTTTTCTCACAGCCTTGACAACACTTAGTGTCTGTCTCTTGTCTTTTTGATAATAGCCATTCTAACATGTATGAAGTGGTAAGTCACTGTGGTTTTAACTTGCATTTCCTTGATGATGAGTAATATTCACTATCTTTTCATGTACCTGTTGACCACTTATATGTCTTCTTTGGAAAAAGGTATATTCAGATCCTCTGCCCAACTTTTAAATGAATTTTTTGGTCTTTTAATATTGAATTATATGGACATTAACCACTTATCAGATAGATGGTCTACAATATTTTCTCCCACTCCATAGGCTGCCTTTTCACTTTGCAGTTTCTTTGGCTGTGCAGTTTTCATTTTTGTCTTTGTGCTTATTTTTGCTTTTGTTGCTTGTATTTTTTGTGTCATATCCCCAAAATCATTGCTAAGACTAATGAAAAGGAGTTTTTTGCCTAGGTTGCCTTCTATTAGTTTTACAGTTTCAGGGATAAGATTTAAATTTTTAATCCACTTCAAGTTGACTTTTGTGAGTGGTTTAAGATAGGACCCAATTTCATTATTTAACATGTGAATATTGTTTTCTCAACACTATTTATTAACCATTCTTTGATCTCTTGTCAAATTCTAGTTGACTGTATATGCATGGATTCATTTCTGGGCTCTCAATTCCATTCCATTGGTCTGTGTGTTTATGACAGTATCATACTGTTTTGATTATTATTGCTTTATAATACAATTTAAAATCAGGAATTGTGATACCTCTGGCTTTGTTTTTCTTCCTCAGGATTACTAGCTATTCCAGGTCTTTTTTGTTCCCCATGAATAATAGAATTTTTTTCTATTTCTGTGAATAATGCAACTGGAGTTTTGATTGAGATTGAAATGAACCTATAGATGGCTTTAGGTAATATGGGCATTTTTAAAATATTAATTCTTTTGATCCATGAACATGGAATGTTTTTCTACTTGTGTTTTCTTCAACTTCTTTCATCAATATCTTATTATCTTTAGTATATACATACTTCCCTCCATAGTTAAATTTATTCCTAAGTATTTTATTTTTTCTGGTGCTATTATAAATAGAATTGCTGTCTTTATTTCTTTTTCAGATGGTTTGTTGTTAGTGTATAGAAACACACTGACTTTTATATGTTAATTTTGAATCCTGCTACTTTACTGAATTTATTTATTCTAAAAGTTTTTTGGTAAAGTCTTTAGGATTTTCTGTGTAAGCTTATCATTTGCAAACAGACAATTTTACCTCTTCCTTTTCAATCTGGATTTCGTTTATTTCTGACAGCTGTAATTTTAGATGAATAAGAAAACACAAAGTAAAATTCACATTTAGCACAGAATAAAACTAGTTATCTAAATAAAATAGCTATTAAACATATTAAAAGATATTTAATTTCACTCATATTTAGAACAATATAAAGTAAAGCTACTTACTCTAGATACCATTTTACCTACCAGTTTAAAAAAGATTCACGAGTTTGACAAAACACTCTTATGCCAAGATTAAAAAGAAACTGGTACTCTCATATATTTCTAGTGGATATACAAAATGGTACGAGATCTATTTTTAAAATTTATATTTATATTGGCAATATTTAACAAAACTACATATACATTTAAACTTTGACCTAGAAATCCCATTTCCAGAAATATACTCTGAAGATACTAATAATACAAAAACACATCTGTGACAGTTATCCATTGTAGCATTGTGTGTGTTTGCACAATATTGTAAGATACAAAAATCCCATACATAGTAAATTGTTTAATTATCTAAATATTCTCTCTACCAAAAGAAACCAGGATTCCCAGAGAAACAGGTTTATTCCAGGACTGGAAAAGAGAATATTTAAGATTAGCCCAGAATATCTTATTTTGCAAGGAATAAAGTAGTAAAGAAATATTAAAATAACTGGGAAATAGTCCAGGCAATTGAAAGCAACATGACCACCTAAGCCTCTATCTCCCAATATTTCCTCCAAAAGTAACACAAGCAACAGAAAGGGGAAATAAAACCACATAAAAAACCATACCCTCAGGATTAAAGACTGATGAACATATTTCAGAATGGCTTTAAGTGAAAAAGAAAAATTACTGAAGCACAGAGTGTGATTTCTCACACTCATCTTCCAAATTAAAGGAACTGAACAGATATAACTAAATGAAATGAGTGATTCTAGATTAGATCTTGAATCAGGATTTTAAAAAATGCCAAAAGGGGACATTATTGGGACAATTGACAAAAGTTGATATTGTATTATGGGTATGTTCTTAGAAAATACATGTTTCAGTATTTTAGAATAAAGGGACATAATACTTCAACCAACTTGCAAAGCATTCAAATCTATACACACACATATACACACAGTTATATCAAAAAAGGGAGCCATACAGCAAATATGTCAAAATGCTAACAAGTGACTAGAGGGCACAAGGGAATCTTTGTTATATTCTTAAAACTACTGGGTATTTTATTTTGTTAAAGACATAAAAATCACTAGTTGCAAGACTTCTGCTTCCAGTCAAGATAAACAGGAACAGCTTTATCCTCCTGCCTAAAACAACTAAAAACTGGACAAAGCATATTTAATACACAGTATTCAAACCACTGGACACCAGGCAATGAAGCACAGTGAACCCTGAAAGACCATAAATGAATTAACCAAGCTCTAAGATTACCCCAGGATGCTGAACAGAGAATGTTTTCAGGCCACATCCCAGGATGAAAGAGCCAAGAAGAATTTACTAACTTGTAAGTTAAACAAACTACGTTCAGAATACTGAGAGACCAAGGCAGCCAGAGTACTGGAGAAGAGATAAGGACAGAGTACTAGAGAGGAGAGAGCCACACAAACAAACAAACAAACAAACAAAAAACAACCTCAGGAGAACTGCAAAAGGCTCACCCTTGATTATTTAGCTAAGTACTAATCAGCTAGCTCAAGAGTCTAAGGCCAAGCAAATAACTTGCCCATAGTGATTACAGAGAACACTGTCTAGAGCTCACATAGAGCCACAGAATCGAGCCAGGACCCAACAGCCAGAGTATAAAATTTCATAATTTGGAGACCATCCTATGAGCACTGAGAATGATCTGAACTCACTAGAGGAGATAAATTCACCCTAGATTACACATAACTCTAGTGCTACCTAACAAATGTAAAGGCAAGAGCCAAACAGTTCAAACTGTCTCCAAGTAACTTTACCATATCCCAAAACAGAGCTCAAGAACATTTTTTAAAAATACAAAACTATTCAGTACCTAAAAAGGTAAAATCCACAATACCTGGTATCAAATCAAAGATTACCATGCAGAAAAATACAATCCAAAATGAGGAGAAAAATCAGTCAATCAAACTGACAAAGAAATAACACAGATGATAGAAGACAGGAACAAGAAAGCAGTTTCTATTACTGTATTCCACATGCTCAAGAATCTAAAGAATGTGCATATTAAGTAGAGATATGAAAGTTAAAAAAAGATTCAAATTGAACTATTACAGATAATTCATTTATTTAAGACTTGCTCATTTTCAACATGGAAATGTTACTCTACTCTGTTTCTGTTTCCTTCTCTGCAATTCCTTTACCCTAAAGTACAGGAGTGGGATAAAAGAAAAACCTGGGTTTTGACAGGTATGAGAAGATTTTTTTTTAAGGGCACTCATAGGCATATTTACATTTAAATATGGATGATACACAAAGGGAGGTGCCAGAGGAGGAGGAAGGAGGAAGGAAGTGATGTTGCTGGCAGAGGAGCAGTCAAGGTGACAGAGTTCATCTCATTGGTAGGGTTATTCAAGGGCACCAGAAATGAAAAATGTCTGAGATGAAAAATACACAAGACGTCATTAACTACACATTTGACATTGCATGAAAATAAGATTAGAGAAATGGAAGGCATAACAAGAGAAACTAACTACAGTGAAACACTAAAAGACAGAAAAATAGATTATCAGTAAACTGTGGGATAAGTTCAAGTGGCCACATATATATTTAACCAGGTTCCCGAGTAGAAGAGGAAAAGGGACGACTAAAAAAAAATTAATAATGGCTGATATCTTTTCACAGTTGATGAAAACTGTAAACCCACAGATATAGGAAGGTTAAGAAACCCCTAGCATAGGAAACATGATGAAAACTACACAAAGGTGTGTAACAAATTGCTTAAAATTAATGATAAAATTTTAAGCACAGCTGGTGGGTCAGGAGGAGCATTAGGCAGAAATATTTCATCAGAAACAATGCAAGAAAATAATATAGCAGTATCTTGGAAGTACTGAAAGAAAAAATGCAAACTAGAATTCCTTAAACAATGAAAATATTTTTCAAAAGCAAAGACAAGAGACATTTTCACACTTACAAAACCTGAAAAAGGGAATTATCAGCAGATTTCTATTATAAAAAATGTTAAAGTCCTTCAAACAGAAGAAAAACAATACCAAATGGAAACCTAGACACACACAAAGAAATAAGTACTGTAAATTGTAACTCAATGGATAAATATAAAAATGTATGTTATTATTTAAAATATTCAAAAGATAATCAACTATTTAGAGCAACACTAATCATAGCCATAATGTATTCTGGGGTTTATAACATATCTCGTATGAACTATTTGCCTTAACACAATTATGACACTATATGTAAAAATGATGAAGTTTGTCCTCTTACCTTGGATACATTGCTGACATAATTCATTTGGATAGTACTTTCCTTATCAACTTGATTACAAAGGTTTTGTAAAGTGGATGCATATTCTTTATCACTTTTTATCCTCAGGGCCATAAATTTCTTTACTGTTTCCAGCAACCGTAATTCCCAGTCTTGCAATTTTAACACAGCTTCATGTGAATTCTTCAGGTCACTCCCAAACCCCATTTTTGTAAGGCACTGTCTTATTCTCCACACTGCGCAAGTAAGCCTTCTAATCAGCACATATCTGCATGTGTAAACAGAAGAAAAAGTTCTGAAATCGGAAGCAAATTAATCCTCATAACAAAGTTATGGCTCATTTTAAGGTAAAAAAATAATAAAATCATTACAACAGAATGCTTCAGACCAAAGATCAGGAAAAAGATGAGGATGTTACCATTCTCACTACTTTTATTCATACTGTACTGGAGGTCCTAGCCAGTGCAATGAAATAAATGAAATAATTTCCATCAAAATTGGAAAGAAGAAAAAAACTATATTTGCAGACAACATGACATTGTAGACAGAAAATCCTAAGGAATGCAATAAAATGTATCAGAACTTTTGTCAGAATAAATAAATCAGTTAGATTACAGGGTGTGAGAGAAATATACAAAGATCAATTGTATAATATTTCTATACACTAGCAATGATCAATCTAAAAACCAAATTTAAAGAAAACAACTTTATTTACAACCTCATCAAAAAGAGTAAAATATTTAGGAATAAATTTTACAAAATAAGTGCAAAACTTATATTCTTAAAGTGACAAAACATTGTTGAAATAAATTAGGAGATCTAAATAAATGGAAAGATTCATATTCATGGATTTAAAGATTTAACATTGTTAAGAAAGCAACACTTTCCAATTTGATCTACAGATTTAACTCAAAACATATTAACATCTAAGCTAGCTTTTTTTTGCAGAAATTGACAAACTACTCCAAAAATTTATTTAGAAATTCAAGAGAACCAGAATAACCAAAAAATTTTTAAATCTCAAAAAAGAACAAAGTTGATGGTTGCACAACTCTGTAAGTCACACTTCCTAATTTCAAAATTTACTGAGAAGCTACAGTGTTCAAGACAATGTGGTACTGACGTATGGACAGACACACACATAATGAAATAGAACAGAGGGCCCAGATATAAATCCTCCTGTTTATGGCTAAATTATTTTCTAAAAAGGTGCTAAGTCTATTCAAAGGGGAAAAAGTATTTTCGACTTATGATGCAGCTGGGACAACTGGATTTCCACACACAAGAAAATGAGACCCAACACCTACCTTAGAACATACAGAAAAAAATTAGCATTATAGATCTAAATTTCAAAGATAAACCTGTAAAATTTTAGAAAAATAACAAAGTAAATCTTCATGGATTTGGCTCCGGTAATGGTTTCTTAGATACAACACCAAAAGCTTAAGTAAGAAAACAAAAATACATTAATTGGACTTCATCAAAATTAAAAATTTCTGAACTTCAAAAGCCACCAACATCAAGAAAGTGTAAAGAAAACTCACAGAAAGGTATAAAATATTTGCAAATCATATCTAACAAGGGACATCTATCTGGAATATGTAAAGAATTCTTACAACTCAATAACAAAAAGGCAAACCAAATAAAATGGGCAAAAGATATGAATAGAGATTTCTCCAAAAAGATTTAACAAATATCCAACATTCTCATGAAAAGATGTTCGATATCATTAGCCATTAGAAGAATGCAAATCAAAATCACTGTGAGATACTACTTTACACCACTAGGATGTCTACAATTAAAAAAAAAACAGATAATATAGGTGTCGGACAGTAAAGAAATTAGAACCCTCATGTACTGCTGATGGAAATGTAAAATGGGAAGTTCCTCAAAAGTTAAACCTAGAATTATTATACAACCCAGAAATTCCAATGTTCAGTATATACCCAGAAGAAATGAAAACATGTTCACACAAAACTTATATATAATATTTAAGTAGAATTATTCAAAATAGCCATGAAGTAGAAATAATCTAAATGTCTATCAACTTATGAATAGGTAAATGAAATATAATATCCATACAAATGAAATATTATTTGGCCATGAAAAGAAATGCAGATTTTTTTATTGTTGGTCAAGTACTATTGTCTCCATTTTCATCTCACCATGCACCCCCTCCAGCCCCACCCATCCCTGCCTCCCACCCTCAAACCTACCTTCTTTGGCTTTGTCCATGTGTCCGTTATACCTATTCCTTGATGGCCCTTCCCTTATTATCCCCTATTATCCCCCTCTCCCCTCCTCTCTGGTTACTGTCCATTCATTCTTTATTTCAGTATCTCTGTTTATATTTTGCTAGCTTGTTTGTTTTGTTGATTACCAATAGGTTCCACGTATACGTGAGATCATATGGTATTTCTCTTTTACCACCTGGCTTATTTCATTTAGCATAATGCTCTCTAGTTCCATCTATGCTGTCATGAAGGGTAGGAGCCCCTTCTTTCTTTCTGCTGTGTAGAATCCTATTGTGTAAATGTGTTTTGTATGTTAAGTGAATGTATTAATATTACCTATTTATAAAATATTAACTAGCCCTGGTTGGGGTGGCTCAGTGGATAGAGTGCTGGCCTGCAAACCAAAGGGTTGCTGGTTTGATTCCCAGTCAGGGCACATGCCTGGGTTGCAGGCCAGGTCTCCAGTAGGAGGTATGTGAAAGGCAACCACACATTGATGTTTCTCTCCTTCTCTTTCTCCCTGTCTTCCCCTCTCTCTGAAAATAAATAAATAGTCTTTTTTAAAAGTAAATTAAGTAACCAATTGATTAATTAATTGGAAGATTTTTGAAGCCCTGGCCAGTGTTGTTCGGTTTGTTGAGCACTGTCCTGCAAACTGAAAAGATGCAGATTCAATTCCTGGTCAGTGCACATGCCTGGGCTGTGGGTTCAATTACCACCCAGTCAGGGCATGTGCAAGAGGCAACTGATCAATGTTTCTCTGTCTCTCTCTTTCTCCCTCACTTCCCCTCTCTCTAGAATCAGTTAAAAAAACCTTTTTAAATAAAAAGTTTTTTATTTTAAAACTTTTTAAATAAATAGTAAAAGAAATAGTGAATAGTAAAAGAAAAAATTAATTAAAGCTTGACAAGATCCCTGGAAAGAAAAGATCCCAGAAAAGATCCCTGGAAATGTCAAGATATGACCGAGGGCTGAATTTACAACCATGACTTAGATTATAAAAAGTCAAAAGTGAAATGTCTTTAATGAGGTAAGAGCACTATAAGACAAAAAAGTGGATATGAAGTGAAGTAAAGAAAGACATGTCTCCAAAATCAAACTATATGTGACAAGCGGTTGTAAATGACAGGTCAATTTTTCTCCCACTCTTTCAGTGTTATGGAAATTAATAAGATTCAAACTCTTTTAATTAACTGATTTTGAAGGCAAAATAACAAAGTCGTAAATGTGATTTTTAAAATGAGTACTTTAAAATGACTAGTTACACAAGTATGTTCAGTTTGTGAAATTTCATCAAGCTGAGATGAGCACCTGTGACTTGTGCTCTTTTCTCTATGTATATTATTGTTCCAAAAAAAGACATAAAAATAAATTTTAATCTAGAAACTACATATATAACTTCTTAAAGAGAGAAAAAAGAAATTAAACATAAGGCAAATTAATTTGTTATTATAGCAATATAGCTTGAGAAATGAGAATCTATAATTGACAATGTCAGTGAGAATTAAGATGAAAGAGCACTGACCTGGCGAATGAATTTAGGGAATAAAAGAGAAGCAGACAATCCAAGGACAATTTCAAAGTTTTCACTAGAAATGATGACAATATCGATAAAGATGGAAGAATGAGACTATGGTCTGCTTTTTAAAAATGCATTCATTTCAACAGGAAATAAAACATAAAAGACCAAGCATCCAAATTTGAGAGAATCAATTGCTTAAGATTATAAATGAAACCAACAGGCTGAATGTTGAAAGAAAAGCACGGTCAAAGACAATACCCATGAGCACCTGTCATTTGAGAAATGAGAGGAAAAGAGGCCAAACAAAAGATAGAGATTTAGTGAACAAAAGAATAAGAGCAATCTGGCAGAGTTACAGATACCATGATGGGGGGAGGATAGTAGTCAGATGGAGATGTGAAAATTGCAAAAAAGTCATTTTCCAATTTTTGTAATACGTGATTTTATGTGTGTATACTGAGTATATTTTGTTTCTAAATATATTTTGATGCACAAGGTAAAGTTGGTATTGTTTGTGAAACATACCTCAAAAGGTCCTACTAATAGCTAATGAAAAGAACAAAAAGTTATTTTTAAGAAAAAACAAAAATTTAAACAAATCATCAACAAATAAAGGAGTACAACTATATGCCACAAGTTTGACAGCATAGTATCAAAGAAAAAATACAAAAAATTCAGTACTTTACACAGCACAGCAATGTATCCAAATTACCCCAAATTCAAGAAGATATTCTAAGTAAAAAGAGCCAACAAAATCCTAAGACTTCACTTTAATTACACCGATATGGAAAGAGCAGGTAGAGAGTGACTAAGACAACCAAGGAAAAATCAAGAAAATACCTGAGAGACAAGCTTCTGTACCAGGACACAACCTTAGAAAATGCAGGAAGGGCAGCCTTCACTTGCCATTTTCCAGGGCTCTGTGAGGAATCAGTGTATGAAATTAAATCCAGGAGTGCAGATGTTTAATGGAACCTCATACAAGAGAATAAATCTCAGCATGCCCAACAAGACCAAACTCAGTCCCAGCCAATATTACCCTACCCCTCTACCTCCATGCTCCCATGACAATGAAACCAGCAGCTAGATGCTGGTCCAAGCAACATGCCATAAACCATTTTCTCAATTGCACTCCACAAAACACAACTATAAACACTGGAAATAGTGCAAGAAACAGTCAAAGAACCCTGAAAGGTAGAAAGAAGGCAAACTCCTTTGGCCCTAGGGCTGGAAGAACAGCACAAAAGCAGTATCTTTGGTTCCACTTCCCCAACAGAGGGTCACCCTCCAACTTTTTCCAACCTCCAGACTAGTAACAAAAGGTAGCCCACAAAGGATAACTTCTCCCAGGATCTGACAGGCATCCCTCTGACAACATTGGGTGAGCCAAATACCACCAGCGAGAGAGACTGATTATGAGCCTCACACAAAATGAACAACCATGGGAAGCACGCTCTCCTGCTAGTCCTGAGATTCCCTTTTCCACCAAAAGAAATACATCCAGGCAGGAAG